CCTTTCTTTAAAGTTTGTCAGGATAAAGGGATCAAGCGACATTTTACTGTGCGCAAAACACCACAACAAAATGGAGTAGCAGAACGCATGAATCGCACATTGGTGGAGAAAGTCCGATGTATGCTATCACATTCAGGACTAAGCAAAGTGTTCTGGGGCGAGGCATTAAGCTATGCTCGTCATATTGTTAACCGGTTACCTTCAGCAGCATTAAATGGAAGAACCCCTTTAGAGGTATGGTCAGGCTCTCCTGCAAATGATTATGACTCTATGCGTATATTTGGTTGCTCAGCATATTATCATGTTACTGAGTCCAAGCTAGATCCTAGAGCCAAGAAAGCTATATTTTTGGGCTTTAGTGGAGGAGTAAAAGGTTACAGACTCTGGTGTTCTGAATCAAAGAAAGTGATTTTGAGTAGAGATGTCACTTTTGATGAGTCTGGCATGTTACAACAAGAGAAATCACAGGAGAAGGAAAAACAGTCTGGTGATGCACAACAGGTGGAGTTGGAGACTTCAGTCATTCCTATAAAGACTGTTCAGACAATCTCTACTGAAGGAGATTCAGATGAAAGTTCAGATGAAGAGGATGCAACAACTTCAGCAACCACACAACAAGAATCCATTGCAACGAGTAAACCGAAAAGAGTTATCAAGAAACCCGCTCGGTATTGTAACATGGTGGCTTATGCACTTCCGGTGATTGATGATGGAATCCCCTGCACCTACAAAGAGGTAGTACAGAGTGTAGAAAGTGCAAAATGGAAAGAGGCAATGGATGAAGAGATGAAATCTCTCCACAAGAATCAGACTTGGGATTTGGTACAACTCCCTAAGGAAAAGAAGACAATTGGTTGCAAGTGGGTATATGCTAAGAAGGAAGGTAATCCAGGAAAAAACAACATCCGTTTCAAAGCAAGATTGGTAGCAAAAGGCTATGCTCAGAAGGAGGGGATAGATTATAATGAGGTATTCTCCCCAGTTGTTAAGCATTCATCAATTCGTATTCTGCTAGCCTTGGTTGCACAGTTTGATTTGGAGTTAGCCCAACTTGATGTGAAAACTGCCTTCCTACATGGAGATTTGGAAGAGGAAATTTACATGTCTCAGCCAGATGGTTTCAAAGTCATTGGGAAAGAGAATTGGGCTTGTAAACTGAAGAAGTCACTGTATGGATTGAAACAATCTCCTCGCCAGTGGTATAAGCGATTTGACAAGTTCATGATAGAACATGGATACACACGGAGTCAGTTTGATCATTGTGTATATTTTCGCAAACTTCTTGATGGTTCTTTCATCTATTTGCTCTTATATGTGGATGATATGTTGATTGCATCAAAGAGCAAAGTGGAGATTGATAGACTGAAAGCTCAACTGAGAACTGAGTTTGAAATGAAGGACCTTGGAGAAGCTAAGAAGATTCTTGGCATGGAGATTCAGAGAGACAGAAGAAAAGGCACAATCTGTTTGACACAGACCCAATACTTGAAGAAAATTCTAAAGAGATTTGGGGTAGATGGTAAGACCAAGCCTGTAAGTACACCTTTAGCTTCTCATTTTAAGCTAAGTGCTTCAATGTCTCCACGCACAGAGGAAGAGCGCAAGCATATGGTTCAAATTCCGTATGCAAATGCAGTTGGTGCATTAATGTATGCAATGGTTTGTACGAGACCAGATATTTCACATGCAGTCAGTATGGTGAGCAGGTATATGCATGATCCGGGAAAGGGTCATTGGCAGGCAGTTAAGTGGATTCTACGGTACATTCATGGCACAACTGATATTGGTTTGAAGTTTGAGAGGGATGATAGACTCAAACAAAATTTAGTTGGTTATGTGGATTCGAACTATGCTGGTGACTTAGACAAGCGTCGTTCCACAACAGGCTATGTGTTTACACTTGCTAAAGGGCCTGTAAGTTGGAGGTCAACTTTACAATCAACAGTAGCTTTGTCAACAACTGAGGCAGAGTACATGGCAGTAACAGAAGCTTTCAAGGAAGCTATATGGTTACATGGGTTGATTGAAGATTCGGGAATTGTTCAAGAGCACGTGAATGTCCATTGTGATAGTCAAAGTGCTATTTGTCTTGCAAAGAATCAGGTTCATCATTCCCGCACCAAGCACATCGATGTTCGATTTCATTTTGTTCGAGAAATTGTGGATGAAGGAGATATTCTGCTACAGAAGATTGGTACCGCAGATAATCCAGCTGACATGCTCACAAAATGTGTCTCAGGGATCAAGTTCCAACATTGTTTGGACTTGGTCAACATCTCTCGGTGTTGAGCACCTTCAGGGTGCAGCGCCATATGGCGCATTAGAGGCAGCATTGATTGATCACAAAGATTGGATGGAAAAATCTTGCCAAGGTGGAGATTTGTAGCAAATTGTCAACATTTTTTCTCAACCACCATCAACCACCCTCTCCTTTAACAACCACCATCAACCACTTCCAACCACCATTCAACCACCATCAACCACCCTCAACCAAGTTGCCAAGGCTCTCCTATAAATAGAGATAAAGAGAGAGAAATGTAATAAGTGTAGTGAAATTGTGGTGAGAGCAAAAGGGTGAAAGTGTGGTGAGTGCAACTGTGAGAGTGAGAAAATACAGATTTGAGAGAAACACCGAGTGTAAGAGTGAAACACCCGGTTAAGTGGGATTGTACTGGGTTGAGTTGAGTGTTTGTATCATTCCTCCAATAATATACAATCTGCTGCCTCCGTGGACGTACCCGATTTTGGGGAACCACGTAAATCTGTTGTTTGTGTTTTATTTGTGTTTGCTTTTGGTCCAGTATGCGCAACATTACAACTGCGCCAACGCAAGAACACACTGCATTCTGTTGCCTGTGCTACCCTCGCGGCTACGCCTACATCAATCGCAATTCACAAAGCAGCAGCTTCATCAAGAAACAAGGCATCAACATTGTATCCGCAACTCTTGCTCAGGAACACCTAAAACAGTTCAAGAAAAAAGATTTTTTAAGTCATTATTCTTCATCAACTGGTTTCATATTTTGTTAAAATCATGCTGTTATGAAAGAATGCAAGTAAATATGAATAGGCTTGTTCGCTGCTAAGCCTAAGAAATTATAGGAACACCAAATCCGGAAAACTAAGAAATAGTAGTATCAAATTAATTGACACCTGAATTAGTAGTGAAAATGAATCCCAAAAATCAAGGCTCTTCTGCTTAGACAACCAAATAATTTGTAGTAGTTTATCCCATCACAATAATTAGTGCTGCCAACTTTATGACCAAGCTAGAGTCAAGGACAGCGTTCTCTACATTTAAGATTTTTTCTTTTCTTAACAAAACAAACAAGTTCTACTAAAATTAACACTCTAAAATGAACACAATTAAGGAGGGGGGAAAACCCAGAAGAACTGATAAAAGGAAAATCCTAATGCATGAACAGAAAGAGAGAGAGAGGAATATTACCAATGGATGGTTGAGACTTGAGAGATGAATCAAGACACATGCTTGGCGTTGAGACTTGAGAGATGAATCAAGACACATTATTGGCGTTGTGAAGGAAAGCAGCAGAGCAAAGAATGGAAGCGATAAAAACGAAAATACCCAAACCAATCATCAAGGAAATCCCTGCTACTACTAAATCCATTATGCTTAACCCCGTCAACAGCATCATCTTCTTCTTCCCTGTCTTCACTAGTTTTTGTCTACTCCCTTTTCATATAAAAAGGAAATAAACCCATTAAAAATGAGAGAAACTTGATGTGGGTTTCTTTGGTTCAAGAAAAAACTCAAGACATCTCAAGATAATCTGTCTGAAGGAACTAAAGTTATAATGTAGCATCACTTCTCATAATAAAGGGTAAAAATAACTGTATCCACCTGTCATAAAATTATGAACTGCAGAATCGACTGTGGCCCACTCGCAGGATTTATCTGAACAGTAAAGGTAAATTCCAAAGGATTGAAAGGCAATATCAGGATATGGAGGTGATAAAATCAATGAAACCTGCAAGATTTATCATCTTGGGATACATTTTCTTGGTATCGGTATGTGCACCAGGTCTCCGCCTCATCCACAGTAATAATGTCTCTGTCCTCCTTGCAATCCAGGGTTTCCTAGGGCTCGTTAATATCTCCATCTATTTTCTTTAATAAAATTTGTGGTCATGCAAACTCCATCCAACTGCCTCTCCCCCCCTCTCCCTCTCCCTCTCCCCTAAATCTTAAGGAATTTCTAGCACATTTTAATCATAAAATTTTAAGTTCACATGACCGAACCTTCTTTTTTTTCCCAGCTAATCTCATCTAATTTTATGAATTTTAAAATTAATAAATATTTCAGTAATTTTAATATTTTTTAAATTTAAATTAATAATTTTAAAAAAATAAATTTAGGTTCGTCAATTAAGTTACATCAAACTTTCAATTTACAAATATTTCTGTGCTATCTTTTGTTAGTTGTTAGCAATAGTTTTGTGTTAATTTTAATTTTAATTTAAAATTATCTGAAAATTAGCTTGTATATTTTTAATTTTCAATTTTAACCTTTTTGTACTCTTTATATTTTACATGTAAAGCTAATAACATAATTGGAAACCCTCAACTTCTTTAATCTTTAACCTAATTATTTAATTTTTATTATTGATGTTGATGATATTTAAGTCATTTTATTAGTTTTACAGGCAAAGAACTTTTCAAATATATTAAATATAAAAAAGTTAAAAATGAAACTGAGAGTATATGAGCTAATTTTCAAATCTTGAATGATTTTTGAGCAATTTAACTATAATTTTGATATCATATAACCTCATTTACTTTTACTTTTACTTTTATATTTTAAAAGTGTTTTAAAAAAATCAATTTTTTTATTTTTTTGGTTATTTTGATATGTTGATATAAAAAATTATTTTTAAAAAATAAAAAGATATTTTAATATATTTTAAAATTAAAATTATTTTAAAAAATACCTATTTTCACCTTTTTCTTTTTTACTTGGATACAAATTCATTATGTAGTGTTAACAACCTTCAAAAAACAACGATGCTGAGCAGAATTATATATATTCAAATCATGAGCACAGAAGGCTTTCTACAATGCATGTACAATTTTCAGAGCAAATACTGCAAAGCTCACAGTAGGTGACAAGGAGCTACTTTGTCCGGATCATTGGATGCGAATCATGTAACAGTGGCCCTTTCTCTCTTGCCGTTGTCTTTCCCATCTCTCTCTAACAAGCTTCTTGAGTCATTTCTTTTCAGAAGTGAGTTGAACTGCACGACCACCTTATCTTAAAAAATCACTCTGTGGACGGAGTGCATTTCCTTTTGAGCTAAATTTAAGGAGGCGACACCTTGTTCTTTAAATGCAACAGGCATGCTTCGTGAGAAAAAATTATACTCTGCAGCTACTGGGTTCTGGCTAGTCTTTGTTAAATATTCAACACCATTTTATAGGATAACTTGGATAGTTTGGTTGTGCCCGTTCTACGTAATAACCGTTGCCGATTCCTTCTCTTAAATGATCCAAGATTTCAAAGATAAAAAACGGAGTAATGGGCATGTATTTGAAAACTGAAGTTACCAGACTATAAGTATACGCCAACTGGTCCAACACCTGATTCACGATTCATTAGAATTTACCATGATCAGATAAGCTTCTAGAGATAAATGGAGCATCGATGCTCGTATATGCATTCACTAGTTTGTATCTATTTGTATAAGGTAGATAGACTTACCTGGGGATTTTGGCATAGGAGGAGGGGCTACTGGTGGCATTCGTTTCCTCATTGGGAGGGGATCTGATTCCCTGATGTCAACCACGACAGCATCGGATGTCAGGAATGTCTTGGCCACCGATGTTGCATGCTCCAAACAACATCTAACCACCTGCTTTCAATTCATTGATTGAAATTAATGAAAATTTTAGCATCTTGAATATATGTTATCAACTGCAAAGTAAATGGTCCAAGAAAAGCGGCAGAACAGAACAAAGAAATGGAATTGCAGAAATAAATCTTCAGCCAACATTGGCACACCAACAGTCGAGATACACTAGTTTTCTTCTTTTCTGGTGGTATATGCCAAAACTCATATCATCTAGCAGTTATAATTTCCTGTTAACTAAATCACAGTCAATTATTGAATGCGCTGCTTTGCACATATTACCTAGGTACTGGCATTGATACCTATTTACTATGCCACGTCACTTTAGAGCATAGTGGTCTGCATATGCAGTCGCAAATTAAGCCCTCTTTCTTTTGTAGTGGTTGCAATTTCTTATCCATTTTTGTCACCTAAAATGGACATGTCATAAGCAAGGTGCATTTTTTTGGATGATTCACGTGATCATATCGTTGAATACCTTCGTGGGATCTATAATTCCAGCAGTTATCAAATCCTCGTAAGTGTCGGTTGCAGCATTGTATCCATATCTTATATCAGCATTTGACAAAACCTAAAAAGTTCACAAGTTTTGGAACCAAATTGTTATTATAATGATTAAAAAGAATACAGAAGCACATATTTTCAAATTTCAACTTCTTATAATCTTAAAGCAAAGTGAAGAATCAACACGCAAAGACCTGGTTTATGACGACATTTCCATTTACACCAGAATTCTTAGCTATTAATCGTGCAGGATAGCTCAAAGCTCTTTTGAAGATCTCAGCTCCAATCTGCATGAAATTAACTTAAGATCACTTAACTTTAGTGAACAGTTGATAGAGCTGACATCCGTGGTGAAATATTTTGTACCATCTGAAATGAGACACGACAATAAATTGTAGGTGTTGAATTTCACATTGATCAGACAAGCTTGTCCAATTCTCATCATACTATCCACACTCTTTGAAAGGAATTAAATAAAAGAATTACAGAAAATAATTTGAAAGAAAACATGCCTTCTGCTCTTCATTATCCAAAAATTCTTTAATACCATCCACCTTAGTTGATAGCCTCAAAAGGCTACAACCACCTCCAACTACTACACCTTCCTCAATTGCTGCCTGCAATATACAAGCAAGCAGCTTATTGTCTATAATAAACAAAAGAACACCTGAAAGATCGATGAATAAAAACAACAATTTACCTTTGTTGCATTTAAAGCATCCTCAATTCTCAGCAGTTTGTCCTTCAACTCAACTTGTGTTTGTGCTCCTACCTGTAAATCAATCGATAACAAAAGAACAATGAGTTACATACGCGAGATGATGACGTCTTCAAGTTGAGAAGTTGCTGATTACTACAAAGCACTTGATTACCTGCAGAATAGCAATCCCTCCAGATAACCTTGCTATTCTTTCATTCAATATTTTCTTTTGAAATTTTTCTTCAGTGTTCTGCAAACACGAGAGACAATGATTCCATGGTGGCCGTCAGTCAGGAAATTTTTTGTACCATGTGGCAAGTATTCTCAAAATTTTAGGAACCTAAACTTCGAAACTGGATTGTGCATGTCTTTGGTTATAATCAAACTGTGATATTCCATTTTTTCACCTCCTCTTGATTACTCAGTGAGAATTTTCCCCGAAACATAGAAACTTATTTTGTTCTAAGAAGGAAAACATTCTTGTTGCTGAAAGGAATTAACTTTCTATTGATTGCTCACATAGGAGAGATTCAAAAGACTGAAAAAGGTTTCCTATTTTTTGTTAAGAGTGGTTGGATTGATAATCTGCATAAGCCAAAACTAAGATACCTATGTACTATGAATATCTGTTTAACGTGGAAAAGTTTTTCTAGCATTTATCATCCTAATTATAAGGCCAAGGAATGACAGATTTGACTCAATGTGTGTACAAGTTGACTGTCACTGATGATCATGCAATGGATGCTACTATGGAACTTGGAAAGAAATGAGAATGCTATAATGGAAGGGATTACATTGTGAAGAGCAGATGCACCTCAACAAGACTACATATCTGAGAAACCCTTTTCTCCACAGCTTCTCGAGTGCTCCCATCAGTTACTATCAACGTGGAATCTTTTGTTATCACCACCTTAGTAGCAGTGCCCAACACCTCCTTCCCAGCCTTTTCTAGCTTCAGCCCCATATCATCTCTAATTACAGTGCCTGAAAAACATGGAATCATCTTGTATGCATCCATGAAACCAAAGTTATATGCATGTGTTACATTTCCTTTGCATTCACTTATGTTTCACAGGGAAATGGAATTAGAATTAACATTCATTTGGCATCTCATGGAGGAATGAAGATTGCCTCAATGACTCCCAACTCAAAAGGACAAAATATATATGAGATGCTTGCCTTTATCCTTATAAACCTAGAAGCTAGGACATAAAACCCTGGTGGTAGAATCGGACAACTTACTTAACAATGCAATAAATAACAACCAGAATTGATGCACAAAGTATAGGAAAAAAAGAAAAAAAACAGGAGAACTTAATCTTCTACCTCCTGTCAAGATAGCGATGTCATCCAAGTAGTGGCTCTTCCGTTCACCAAAGGCAGGAGCTTTAATAGCAGCTCCTTTCAATAGACCCTTGAGTTTGTTCCTAATGATTGGAGCCAGAGCTTCCTGGTCCACATCTTCTGCAACTATTACAATTGGGTACATCTCTTTAACTGCATTATCCAATATTTTGAATACCTCCTTTGCATTCTGTATTTTTTTGTCAACCAAGAGTAGCTGCATCCAAAAAATCTCTTACTTTCTGATAATTTCATGGAAGAGCATGACAGACCGTATAAAGATTCCTACCTTGCAGTTGTGGAACTCCGCGACCATTCTTTGCCGATCAGTTACGAAGTAAGGAGACAAATATCCACGATCGAATTGCATTCCTTCTACAATTTCTAGGATGTTCTCGGTACACCTTCCTTTCTCAATTGTGACTACACCCCTTCTTCCCACTTGTTGAAGTGCATCGGATATCATGTTTCCCACTGTATAATCATTCCCTGCGCTAACTGCAGCAACATCTGCAAGCTCATCGTTCTCAACCTGCAACATGTTTCTTAAGTATGATTGCTTTTCCTACATAAATACATTTTGCTCTTCAGACAAGCTTTTTGCTTCCACTTATCCTGGATATTAATTGTTTCAAGCGAAATTGAAGAAGAAAAGCTGAGTTACTGACCTCCCTCGACATCAATTTGAGTTCAGATACAAGAGCTTCTGAGGTTTTCACAATCCCACGAGCAATTTGAACAGGATTCATGCCAGATGCAATCACCTGGAACAAGTGTAATCTTTAATGCAGAAATTTTTCAGAACTTTTCATAAAGAATTTAAGGGTATTCAAAATGAATGCTAGAATCCACTTCATGAAATAAATGACAAGCGTATGCCAACAGCCAACTAATTTTTTTTCCCGAGATAACAAACTCTCAGCCACAGTGGAATAGCATATTCCAGGCCTTCAATTATCAAAATCTGAAACTCATTGCACGAGACGCTCCACTTGTCTTGTGTGAAGTAGTTGTTACCTTTTGACCCTCAGCAATTAAACCATGAGCAAGAACCACAGATGTTGTCGAACCATCACCAGCAAGGTTATTTGTTTTTGCACCAGCTTGCCTCACCAATTTTACTCCAACATTCTCCAAGGGATCCTCCAGTTCAATCTAAATATTAATCCAGGCAGCAAAGAAGCAGTTAACTAGGAATATAATAATACCAAGGAATTAATAATGATCCATTATCATAAGAAAAGACTTTTTCTTATGGCCAACATCGTTATTTTCCCACCTTTGTGATTCATGAAATCAAATTCAAACAAAGATAACGAAACTGTAGATGCAGATACGAGCATTAGCAGGCATGAAAGGACAGTACAGAACATCAATGGACTATTCATTTCCCTGGCTCGTGACGCTAGCGAAATGGTTAGCAAGAACTTCACAAGCATTTTAAACACAGAATTGTAGTTTGTTGCATTTGAAATATCATGAACCCATATCAAAACTGTAGACAACTATACATTCAAGTCTGCTTCTGTAATGGAAAATAGATGCATCACAAAAGCTGTTGATTTCTACATGGAGTTTGAATGGAAGTTGTACTAAAATATAGAACATAAAAGGGAATATGTGTGCAATTGCAGTAAATAGTACCTCTTTGAGGACAGTTTCTCCATCATTAACAATCTTGGGAGGTCCGTACTTGTTTTGCAACACCACATTCCTTCCTTTCGGTCCTAAAGTCACTCCTAATAATTCTGACACCATCTCCACCCCTGCCTGCACAGCACGAACCAATCATCATCGAAGGCAAAACTCAATTTGAAAAGGGAAGGTTGTGTAGTGACTTGAATTGCAAACCAGAAGCTTCTTCGTGGTTGAACCATCATGGTTGAAGTAAATTTCCTTGGCCATGGCTTTCGGGCTTAACATAGAAGGAGAGGAGACCCTCTTGAGCCTCGTTGCGTCAGTGAGAGATATTGCAGAGATTAGAGATGGAGAGCATGCCATGGTTAATGCACCACCAGCAAATAACTCTTCGGTTTCGTTTATTTGGGATATCAACTCCTTCGCTATTTGAGGGATAAGGGAGAGAAAAAAAATATCTTGGAGTGGATTTTGGCGCTATTTCAAGAATCTTTCCGTTTTATTTTTTTATGTTCGTGTTCAGAGCAGGAACATAACATTTCGAAATTCAAGTGATAACCAATGGGCCAAATCCATAGATTAAAAGGAGACTCGGAGGACATAACTACAAGTGTCCATCCCAGAGCCTATAAGGCCCACAAAATCCCAATCCAGCTCGTGAAGAAATCTGCACTCGATCATTGAGAGTCGAGGACCCTCGTAATTTTCATGGGTTTTGCTCACCTTATCCATTTTTATTTGTTTGAAATATATAAACAAAATTATAAAAAGGTTATATCAGCAAATTTCACTCTTGGGAGGCAGCAATTACCACATCCCCTTCTCTATGAAAATGGATGATAATTAGACTCCTTAAACACTTCTTAATTATAATAGTATCGGTGCCTAGTGGACATACATTAGCTTTCCACTCTAGTTTTCATGCATGTTCTTGCCAAATTATACAGTCGTCGGCTTATTGTAATGGGATTCGAATTTTGATCTTAATTACAGTAGAGTTGAATATTAGTTTATCTAGACAAATAGCAGTAGAATCTGACGGGAATTGTAATCGATCTAGCTATCTAAAGTCAACGTGAAAATAAAAGTCAAATAGCCTCGATCGATAAGCAAATTAAATGAAGCACGATCCTTGTTAATTATTAATGTTCAAGATGCTTCGTGTTTGCCTTTTTGAAGCCCTCTCTTATTTTCTGCTATTTAGATGCCAATTACCTCCTCTTCTTATTATGGTGTTTCGCATTGCCAAGCGTGATGCCATCTAGTTCAATGAACTGCCTGGAAACTTTCACACAATTCTAGATGTGGATCGAATTCTAGCACTGTAAAAAAAAAAAAATCATGCTTTTGTGCTGATGTTTCGGTTTTTTATCAGTTTTCTCCATGATTAAGAAAAAAAAAAGGATTAAAACAGGTCAATTAGTAACGGTTGTCAATTTTATAAATTATACGAGGTCAATTTCCTGATAGGAAAAATTGGATCCCCCGATGTTTCATTTTTGTGCTTTTTTTATTTATTGATATTTTACATACTCGAAACTTATCACATGTGGAGATGTGAGCTAGACACGTGATGCATAAAATTCATGAAAATTAGATGCTAATTATCAATTGACCCAATTTGGTTTTTTTTATAAAAAGTTAGTACTGTAAATTTAAAGTTTTTGCATAATAACACTGTTTAAAATTTTTTTTAGTAAAATAATACATTTTTACTAAATCATACTTTAAAAGCTCAACATTTAATAAATATCACTATTAGAAAATGACAATTTAATATGTCTGTTTTACATTAAAAAAATTTAAATATCTTTAAATGTTTTTATGTTAAAAATCCATCATTATATTTATTGTTGTGGCTGCCCTAGTTTTTTCTCAGTCCTGCAAGCAATTTAAATATTCTACATTGCTATGAATTTATGTTTGGTTTGGCTAAAATGAAATGATTATTCAAGTTGAATATAAAAGTATATACTAATTTTAGAATTTGTTGAATTGATGTTAGATTAGTTAAAAATATCATAAACTATGGATGTTTTTGATATAATTGAATATAAAAATACAATAAATTAATTATATGTTGCGTTTAATTAATATTAAATTGTCAAATTAGAAATTTTATATATTGTTGGAATCAACTAATAATGTAATCAATTACACTTGATAATTTAATGCAAAAGATTATGAATATAATAGAATTATGACGGATTACATGTTTCATTGAATTGTTGATAAGTTGGCGAAATTAATGTTTTCTTTAGATTATATTAATTTAATAATTTGCTATGAATTTAGGTTTGATTTAATGTAATTGAGCATAAAAAGATTAATTAGATTTTGTTTCATGAATTATGTTTAATTTTTAGTGAATTTGCTTTAACATTAAACGTTGGAAATTTGATTTGATATGAATTTTGCTAATTATGATTAGAGTAATGCAATTTAGTTAAAATTATGTCTAATTTATCAAAATCCAAATTGTTTTATTTTTTTTCATAGAATATCTCATAACATGTTTATGTTGTGTTACTATATGACGCTATTGTTCACGACGTGAATAGTAGAATCATATACAATGGTAAAAGCATTTTATTATTAAATGACAATCTAAGTATGTTGTATGCAAAAATAAAAGAAATCATTTGTTGTTAAATGATAATGATGTTGTTGATGATGATGAAATTATATTTCATGTTTCTGAATTAGAAGATGCTAATGGGTGTAGTTTTGTTGTTTATAATGAGTTGGCATTAAGCTATAAACACATGTTAAGAGGGTATGATTTGGAAATTAAAAAAAAAACTGGTAATAAAAATAATTTCGTTAATGCAATTAAATAATGACATGTTTTAAATTTGGTTGAATATTGAATCCAACAGTTAAACTGTATTTTGCTCGGCTACAATGTGTGCAAACATTTGAATGTAAGTAATATTTACATAGAAGATATCATATAAAAGGTTGGATTCATTTTAGATAACAAAATTAAAAAGATTAAATGCATGTATTTCGATTTTTATCTAAAAAAACTATTATCAGTTTAATACAAATTTTATTACTAATCTTATATCAACTTTTATAATTAATAAAATTTCAATCATGATTGTAATCTGTTTGTTGGTTTAATTAATTATTGTGATGCAGTCAACCAATTTATAAAAATTTAATTAAATATCGTGACTAGAAACCCTGACATCCTAAGAAAAAAATTTTTTACCAAAACTTTTTATTTTGTGTCACTTCTCTATTTATTTGCATTTTACATTATGATTGCCCAATTTATCCACCTAATTTGGTGTGCCCTTTCTCGTTTCTGTTTAATTCAATTTATTTTTTATTTATTTTTTTTGTTACAAAGAAGAGGATAGAAGGAGAATGATCCCACTGCTAATCGAGCTATATAGGCATGTCGAATTAAAATTACCGTAATCGAGTTCTAAAAAACTACAGGAGCTAAATCATGAAAGGTTGCCAATAAATTCCCATCCCGAGCCCGAGATCGGTAGGTGCCTATCACATGCAAGATCCTTATCAAACACCAGCAAGGACAGCTAGCTAGCTTCTTATCACACGTAGCACAACTCCTTGACTGCATCATCGACATGGAAAAGGCAAAAGGACGAGAGGAAAAACAATTCTCGACGATGTCTCTAAATGGTGGTGTTTCCCAGGAAGAAAGAAATAGAAATCATTGACCCCAAGTGGGCACTGGCGATGTAATGTTTGACTTTTGGTGGCATGATTTCAATGCTCATTTATGGAGGAGCCTTCCCCTTGCTCTCCATCCCAAGTCGGTCTCACTTCTCGATACACCGCCTCAATTATATAAGGTAGCAAACTTTCCGTCGCCTTCCATTTATCTCCACAAGCTCTTCCTGTCTTAATCACAAAAATGCCGAGGAAGCTCGCTTTCTTAATGATGGTACTGTTTCTTTTATTCTCGGGTGCAAAATCCAGGTCTATTTCAGCCACCACCAGACCAGAATCCACACCGCCGGAAACATCCTCACACATTCCTGCGGGATCATCACCTGTGAGCCTGTATTTCTAGTCTCCCACAAGAAAAATTAAGTTATTTATCACGATGCAAGATTGCGAGCTAATGTCTTGTTTCTGTTCATGCAGGAGGAGTCAAGCATCAATGATGATGGGTCATGCTCTGGGTTAGAAAGTGCAGAAGAATGTTTGATTAGAAGGTCCATGGCTGATCATACAGACTATATCTACACACAAGATATAAGTGGACCGTGACCCTTTTTTCCCCTCTCCTTTTTACCAGTGGTATTTCTGTGCTAATTAGCTTTATTTTATCATTTAATGGTTAGAGCATGAACACTCAGTTTTTATATCGATCAGATTTCATCGTTGCAGATTCTCTTCTTGTGATACGCCTTCCACTGTTCTACAATAAAATGGCATTAGTATAATGATTTGCGCATCTGGGCACCTATTGTTGTTTGCCACTTATCTGGTACCCCATTAAATAACACTTATAATATATATAATCTCAATGACTAAAATAACATTCTCACAGGTATATCTATTTGAAAAATTAATTATACTTTGTAACCTAAAAATTAATTAGTTACTATATTCGAAGTATTAACTAGAAAGCATACACTAGAAATAATAAAAATATCATCGAAAAACTTGAACAAAAAAAATAAATTTGCGCTTCTCTCCCATCTTTTTACACAGGGAACCATCATCTCCATCGTATCTCTCCCTTGCTTCTGCATAACAACCTTCCCCATCACCTCCAGCAGCAGATTCTCCATCTCTTTGACTATGTTATCCCTATCTACCCTCCACAGTTGCCAGCATCACATTTCGCCCCATATCTCTGCCAAAACCTTCGTTCTTTCTGGGCAATTTAACCTTAAAATGGAATTAGAAATCACTCCTTTCTCGACTCAAATGTCAGTCAATTTCACAGCCTTGATCTGCCTTAGTTTAAACCCAGAATCCGGTCAGTTTGGACCACGAATCATACACGAAAACACAACCAAAACCCATCTGAATCCTTCCGTAAAGAAAACACAAAATACAAATGCATTTCCCGATATAATGAGATAGTGGCTTTGCCAGTGGATGAAGATGAATGTGCCGCTTTATTTCTCGTGGCAGCTCGACATATCTTCATGGAGAAAGAAGTGGCAGGAGGTGCAACTGTAGCAAGGACCCCATATTGGTTCGTTTAAGCATGAAACAGAAAGGACACTATGAGCCTGGCATTGAAAATTGCTAAACAGAATGATCTGAAGTGGAATAGTGTAAAAATTATAGGTGCTAAATTGCTTTCCCTCCTCCTACCTTTTGGTATCTTAGATGATAAAGACTCTCTCTTATTTTTGTAATGGAAACTCTCTTTATTTTCTTTCTTAACCTTTTGAATTAAAATCAAAGAGACGAAATTACAATCTCTCGCTCTGCCAATAAAAATTTAATCCTACTAGCATTCAATTGCCCACCTTTTGACCTGCAACT